AACTTACTACCATCTCTAGATTAATGTAAATTTCAACTAGAAAACAGCAACTCCACAGATCAAAACATATTTTCTTAAATACTCGATCATTTTGGTCATTACATGATAGAATAACCAGAAAATATAGTAGAACTGGTAATTGAGTTCTGAAAATTATTAAATTAAATTCAGCAGCTATCTTAAATTTCTTTCTATTTCCCTCAGGCATCAGCATAACATTTGAACCAAATTAGTCAACTGGTATGTAAGTTATGAAAGATAACATTTTATATGAAAAATAGCCGCCATATTGAATTCAGTGGCCATCTGAAAAATTCTTTCTTGAGTAGAGTTTTATGTCCATAAAGCATCAGTATATTAAAGGATAGGTATCGATATGGTGAGCTGAATTTAACAATGCTTTTCTCTTAAACCAATTATAGAAAACATTCTGTAAAACACATGGTCCTTTATGTAATCAGATTTTGTATAGACTTTCGGTACCTCAACAGTGTATCAAAATTTGATCACTACCTGATGCCAAGAATAGATGACATTATAGACAAGCTTCAGAAAGCAAAGTGGATTACAGTTGTCGATCTTTGCAGAGGATTTTGGCAGATACTCCTTACAGAAGAGACAAATGTGCTTTTTGGACACCCTGGGGAATTTTTCAATTCATAGTGATGCCGTTTGGTCTCCATGGAGCCCCAGCAACCTTTCAAAGGATGGTAGATGAGCTACTGAGAGGTGCAGAAGACTATATTGCAGCATATCTCGATGACATCATCATCTTCAGTGAAACATTCCAAGATCATCTTACCCACGTGGAAGACTTAATGAAAAGATTAAGAGAACATCAATTGTCAGCAAAGCCAGCAAAATGCCAATTTGGATACCATGAAGTTGTGTATTGTGGACACAAAGTTGGCAAAGGAAGAGTAACACTAAAACCAAGTGCTATAGAAGCTATACAGAAGTTTGAAAGACCAGAAACAAAGTCCTTACTCAAGACATACCTGGGACTGACAGGATACTATAGACGCTTTGTTGAAGATTACGCTACAAAGGCCTACCCTTTAACAGAACTGACAAGAAGACAGATTCCTAAGAAGATACCATGGGATGACAAAGCAGAACATTCATTCATTCACCCTATCCTAAGAATCAGATCATAACCCTCTCGTGTGGTTGAAAAACATGAAGAACACTAACCCTAGACTCATGAGATGGTCTTTGTCACTGCAACAATGCAGATTTACAGTGATACAGAGGGCAGGTCGATCCAACCAAAATGCAGACGCATTATCAAGATTGTGACTCTATTAAATGGACATAAGTGAGATAAAAGGAATAGATATGAGGAAAAGTATAATTCTATGCATTTAAAGACATTTCATAGAAACACAATTGTAAAAAGTGCATAATTGAGGACATTTGAAGTTTGAAGAAAGTGATCCTTAATTAGTGAAAGTTTTAATTTTTGGGAAAAGCAATCCCTGAGAATTAGTTTAATGGACAATTTACTTTTGGGGACAATCCATCCCTTAAAGAAGAAAGTCATATCAGATGTGACTTTTATGGAAAAAGATAGAAAAATACCAAAAACAGTCAAAAGAAAGGGGGAAGATGTAATGTATATGGAACTAAAAGTTTAAAGTTGATCAAAAGATGGCACTAGAGTATACTAAAGTAGACTCAAAACTGAAAAGTGCAATCAGAGAAGCCAATTATGATTTTGAAAAGAACAGTCAGTTCACAAAGAGAAGTCAAAGTATCCACATGTAAATATTATCTGAAGATGTAAAATAAGAAATAAGAACATAAAGTTGTACAAACGAACTAATAACCAAATAAGAGACTGAAATAAGCGACAACTGTCGGACCCAGCGAGAGCATCAAAGGGGCCCCTTGTCATAACATCCAGAACCCAAGATAGGCGTCAACAAGGTAGTAAAATCAAGATAATAACAACATTACAGTAATGTTGACTGATTCGCAACAATTTAATGTGAAAATTATTTATATAATATCTTATGTAACTGTTTTTGTTAAGATTTTTTTGTTTTAAGTACAATTGTTTTTTGTTATTTTCTACCAATTCTTGAGAATGAAATACAATGTCTTTCCAAACCTTGTTGGAACAAAATAGCATAAACAACATTTTCTTTGACCTCTCAATACTATAGTTATACAAAGGAAATTTTGGCCGTTTTAAGAAAAAGTATGCAAAAAAATTAAACAAAAGCCCACAAAATAGATAAAAATTAAGATAAACCTTTTACTTCATGAACAAGATACTTTTTAAAATCAACCAAACTTTCCTTTGTACAATTACAATATTGAGAGACCTTAACACGTTGTGTTCATGTCGTTTTGTTCCAATGAGATTCGGATAGATGTTTCATTTCATTCTGAAAATATGATACCAAGAACAAAAGAAGTGTCTGATGTGTTTTCTAAAACAATATAGAGAAAAATATATATCATAAATTATTATGTTACCATCCAAAAGATGACTATTTAATTGACGTTGTGCGAAATTTTTTTTTTTGATGACTGGTTTAAGAGAAATGTGTTCAAATGTTCACCAAATCGATACCACTCCTTTGAGCAAAATCTGTTGACTGGTATGCAAGTAACAAATATAACATTTTTAAGAAAAAATGGTAGCCATTTTTGATTCAGCATTCATTTTGAATATTTCTTCTTAAACAGAGCTTCTATGCCCCTAAGCCATCAGCATACGAAATTTGCACTAAATCTGCCCATTAGTATTTGAGTTGGCCATTTTGAATTGAGTGGCCATATTGAAAATTCCTACTCAAACAGAGTTCCATTCCCAGGCATCAGCCTATAAATTTTGAACCCAGATGGTATACCGATATTTGAGTTATTGGCCGGCAACAAACAAACAAATGGATGGCTTCTCTGTATCTCTCTCGAACGAAGATCGGTGGATAATTAGCCTTTTACAGAATAATCATTATTTATGAGATACTAAAATACTAGTGAGATAATATGTGGTAATTAATTTCAATTCAAATATTATTCACTGCATCTAAAGACAACTTCAAGTAGGGAAATGTGGAGATAGTTACCTAATACAGGTACTTCCTCACAATCTACTTGTAAATTATCATGATATTAAGAAGTGAACAAATACAATACTTCAAGAAAAATTTATTGAAATACAGCCCCCAGGGGTTCTATAAAAAGGCCATGTTAAATACAGTGTAGAATATTGATGTGTAAATCCAATGGTCTTTGAGACAGAAAGATCTATTGCTTTATTGCATTTCAATTATATAATATGAACAGACTTCAGTCCCTTCTCCACCAAACCTTTCATAGTTTAGCTTTACTCCTTTGGTTATACATTTTCTGCAATACAATGAATACATATTTTTTCAATTGTGTTTTACATGCAATTATATCAAAATTATATCTAGCCTGGCCTATGCTGAATCTGATATCTCCAAGTGAGATATATGTTGCCCAATCAAACATCACATTAATCCAATCAAACATCATAATTATCTTATAAATAATGATGTCTACAAAAAATGTAACATTACAGTTTAAATTCAGCCATGGAATTCTTAACACCATGGATTATATGGTCGGTTATACTTGCTTTATACCTGACTTATGCATCCGCATCTTTGGAAACACAAATTGGTGAGGCAAATATTTGTTTATAATTCACAAGACATCATTCCTCTGCTTGAAACTTGACAAAGAAATAAACAAAGGAATATTATATTTTGGAATATTGCAATGGAAAATCAGAAATAAAAAGCAACTTAACAAATATTAACATGTAGCCTTTAAAAGCCTTATACTGAGTGTGAAAATATTCTTTATCAGCCAAATAACATCATTTCTTTTGATTAAAATTAATTCAAATTAAATCAAATACATGTACATGTATTGAATTATTTCACAAAATGGCTGAATAGGATGTACACTAGTATAGTAGTATGAGAAATAGAGGTTCTTGTATGAGTACCTGTGCAAGATCGTCCATTCTTGATGAGCTTTGGTAATTCTTCTTTATCAATCAAATATCTTTTTTTTTATTTATTCATTTATACAAAGAATACTTTATAATAAGTGCTTGTGGACCTAGACAGTTTTACATCATTCAAAAAGATGACACTACATTTGAGGATATTTAAGTTTACAGCTTTATGTCGTCTTTTATAACCATTGAGGACAAGGGGTAAAGATGTATCTTTGTTAGTCATATGAGAAACTGTTATTAACATATGTACATGAAACTCCCTAAAAAAAACATATTTTAAAAATGTTTATAATTTTTAGCACAAGGGTTTGAAAATTATCTTTATCATTTTTCTAGACTTTCTGATAGAATATTTGAAAATGGTCACTTCCATATTTGTGGTCATCTTGAATTTCTTTTTAATTTTGGAACAAGGCATTAACATGAGGAAATGTCACAACCAAGCAAATTGAAAAAATACCTTTTTGACCTTGAGAAGGTCACTGAAGGTCAAATACTTTTTGACCTTGAGAATGTCATTGAAGGTCAAATACTTTTTGACCTTGAGAATGTCATTGACGGTCAAATCTATAGTTAGATTTGAACTTTTGAGAACTTCTAGATGATTTTGAAAGAAAATTGGTCAATTTTAAGCAAGTTGAAAAAATACCTTTTTGACCCTTTTGTATCTTGAGAAGGTCAATGAAGGTCAAATCCCAAATCTAAAGTCAGATTCGAACTTCTGATAACTTGTAGATGATTTTGAAATAAAATTGGTCAATTTGAAGCAAGTTGAAATAAGACCTTTATTCTATATTAACAAAACTAACTATTTTCAATATAAACTAAATTGCCCAATACTAGTAACTACTACCTCCATAATGCACCGGCCTAAAGCCATATCCCATAATCAGTACTTAGTTATGATTTTGAAATATATGAACAAATTTACTTTGGTGGGTTAAAAAAAACAAATAATATACTGTATATGTAAACCGAGCTCTACTTTTTTAGGTGACTGCTCGATTGGGAACTATCTCCTGGTTAGCCGGGAACATCATTACCCAAACTGTCAACTATTGTTGCGGTTAAACGCCCCATGGCCTGTTAACTCTCATGAACTATGTTTCTCTAAAGCCTGCGAGCTACAAGGGAATGTGGTTCATCATAGACGGAACAGGCATTGCTTTATCTATAGATGTCCATCAAATGCAGCTGGCACTGACTGGGACTACAGATGGAGAGGACGAGGTGAGTGGGGAGTTGTATACGCTCAACCTCATCCATATACTCCTAGATGCTATAACTCATATTTCATGAGGCGAACATGGAATAGGTGGCAAAATGTAAAATCCAATTGTTTTATAATGGGTACAAATGCACCTGTTACAGATCAACAGGCATGCATGAGAATTGCGTGCGACCGGAATGCAAATGTTTTTGACTATTTCCTGAATAACAGAGGCTGTATAGTATACCACTGCAGGTGGAACTCCAGAACTGGTGACTATTTTTTCAACTTTACCCAAACAGATGAAGAAGTTGAGACCTACAGTCTCTCTCATACGGAACAATGTAACATTACCTTCCCATCAATCCCAATTCCATCACCATTCAGTTATTCAAACTCTTGTCCGATGACTGGGGTTTTCCCCACTGAAGACCACAAACTGTCTGATATCCTTTGTCTCTCTGGTTCAAACAGTTTCATGGAAACATCAATGGACAATGCATTAAGGAGCTACAGGTGTTTGAGTAACAGTGAAGGCACAGAGTGGGGTATGTACAACCAAAGCACTTGTTTCCCTCGAAACAACCTGAACAATAGCAGCCCTGATAATAACATTACCCGCATGTTTTTTCTTCCCTTTCCTGGGACACCAAATTGCAATGGATCACAGTTCTTCCTTACAAGGGTGAAACAGCACTGTGTCATGTCTACATGTGATGCTATAGCAAGAAGATCTGTAGTTGACCTCAGAGAATGTATGAAAGAAGCATGTACAAATGGTGCCAATGTCATTAACTATATCAGTAACACTTCGTATGATTCAAGTTCTGTATGTGATATGAGAGTATGTAATGAGAGCAGTGAAATCACCAATGGTGAGTATGAAAACATGTATGAACTCTGGTTAGATAATGCTTTTATCAATAATGGGTTAGGGTTTGATGTTTATGTATTGTATTATGATACCAACTCCTCAACAACGACGCCAACACTGATGCCAACAACGATGTTGACAGCAACAAAAACAACAATCTATCCATCAACAACCATACTGACCACTGAACAGACAATGACATCCATGACTGACAACACTACTGAGAACATAACAGAGATCCCTGAAGCTTCCACTAACTCTCAAGAACACAAAGAAGTCCTGAGATACCAGCAACAGAATCACAAGTTGAGAATTGCCACTATCATACTTGGAATCCTACTGCTTCTTTCTCTTATTGGAATCGCAATCATCTTTATCATGCTGAGATTGCGCAGAAGGAAGTTGAATGAGCCAAATGTGACATTTGAAAATGCTCCTGCAAATTCCACCGCTGATGACAACTGTGCAGGTATTAATGGTGCAGAGGGGGAGACATCTGTCCATAAAAGACCACAGAAACATGAACAAAACTTTTACGAATATGATGATATAAGCATCAGAACATGAAAAGGTTGTAGAAAATGAAACCTTAAGATTATTGGCTTAAAAATAAGCATACAACTGGGAAAGATGTCTCATGGGATAAAGAGTATGAGAGGGGGCTGTTGTAGTATAACAAATATGTCACCAAATCAGATAACAAGCTTTTAATTATATATGTGTAATATCATATTTTATTTATCATGTAAATAGAGATTTTCCCATATGAGGTACAGAATACAAGTGTTATCCCAAGGCCAATATAATATTCTGTTCAAGGGCAGGGGGTCACTGTTGAAAAAACAACATTTTACAAATCTGCTTTATATATCTCAAGCACGTCCAAGTATTGGAAATAAATAAAAAAAATTTGTCGAGTTGGCCGAGAGGGCTTGAGCGCCGGCACATTCAGGCTAGGCGATTAGGCGCCGTAACCACGAGGTTGCGAGTTAGAGACGCGTGTTCTCCTTGTGTTTATTCATTTATAAAATATAGCTACATGTATTAAATTTCACCATATGTGCTTTCTTAGTTTATCATTTGTGTGATGGGATATCCAATACAACAGTCACATGGTTCTCCTTCCCGATTGCATATTGAAAGTGATTCAAATTAACATGGGCTGTATATGGTATTCGTTTGTGTAATAAGAGATGATAAAAGACATCTTCATCATGTTTGCTTGTAATCTTCTTATATTAAACTGTAATTAATTTTCTTCAATCTGGTTATGTGAGCCACAATGCATTTTAAGTCTCTCTCTAATTTACAGTGTTTTACATTGCTGTATTAGATCTTTCAAATCAAATACTTTCTTCGCAAATTAAACCATACCATAAACAGTACTTTCATTAGTTTGTTATTTTACATGTACAAATTTATATATCATTTTCAATTATTGGCAAAAGTAAGGAAACCAGAATTTTTCATACATCACACTAGTCAATTAATTCTTGTGACATCACACTAGATAACTCATGTGACATCACAAGTGGTGCTAATTGGGTCAAATTCAAACTGATGTATTGATGATTCGAACATGACTGTATTCACGCCTTCTATAAACTGTAAACAAAGTCAATGCTTCAGCTGGGTTATATTCGAGATCATACAACCCAGTTAATACGTGTAATGTGTGACGTCATAACGGTGGGTCGTAGTAATGGCGGACCATGATGAATATTCGAAACAATTTGGTGAGTTTTCATGTTTGAATCGTAATATAGACCTCAGAGCAGGGTTACTAGTTTCGAATAACACCCCGCTGGTCTCGGCACAAAAGCTTTCGAACCCCTCACTCCCTTCGGTCGTTCGGGGTACAGAAAACGTTTGTGCCGAGACCAGCGGGGTGTTATTCGAAACTAGAAACCCTGCTCTTTGGTCTATATTTCTTAATCAATCTTTGCACCATAAGCAATGTCAACAACCTCGGCATCTAATGACAGTTTTAGGAATGATTTGAAGTTGACTGGTATGAGATCTGAATTATTGAAAGGCGTTGAAGAGTTCTATAATACTGACATGAAGAGAGGACAATCACTGAAACAGGCATGGACTTTCTTGATATGACCATACCTACAGGGAACTAATCATGCATGTAGGCTGATCATGCATGTAGGCTGACCATGCATGTAGGCTGATCAGAATAAGTATTTAACTAGAAAGAACACTTACTGTGTAGTTAGTGGGGAGTCCTCCGATGTGCAGAAGTGAATCAAAGTTGAGTTGTTTCTCAGGGGAGAGGCCGTCATTATATACAGTTGCTGTGCCACCTGTCTCTGTCTTTGTAACTGTTAAGTGGCCTGTGTTACCATAACTGAAATCACATAAAAATTTTGAATGTTGTCTGCATGATTTTGGCAACTTCTCCTTTATTTGAATCTCTGAAAACCAACATTTCTCCATGTGAATACTCTTAGTAAGTCCACATTATGTCCACCTTTTCCAGTTTTACGACGTCTGGGCTAAATCAAATATTCTGGATTTGAACTCAGAAAACTGTTTCAACCCACTGTATTGGTAAACATGCATAAGAATATTAAGATGAATAATTACTTTATTGCACCTTTGATCACCACAATATTCAAACTCTAGTGTACATCTTGCATTCTTCTACAAATGCCATTAAAACTAATTTGGTGATTTTATATAAAACACAGTACACATTGAAAGATAAATACTTCTGCTCCCATAGAATGGTGCAAATCTTACAATTATATTGTATTGTAAATGCAATATATAAGTGGAATAAACAATAATTTAAAAAGAAAGAAGTTAAACTAACCGTGAGGCTAGAATTGTGAACCAGCAATCCTGGCATAAATTGGCCAAGTTAACCATACTGACTTTCTCGGAGCCAAGGTTGAATGTAAACACAACTTGCCCACCAAGTACCTCTACCGAGAACATCTTTTCACTGGTTGTTTCCTCAAAAAAGAACAAAAGTTGGTCCTGGCTTGGATCAGTTGTTCGGAAATCGATAGAAAGTTCATTGTAAAGTCCTTTAACTGGTGATGCATCCTGGGATGTTACCTCCACTGCAGTCGCAGAATCTCCAACCATTCTTACTGGTTGTTCAAGGAGAGCCGCAATCTCCTTTGCCCGTCGGAGTTTGTCCTCAAGAGTAGCCATCTTGCTTTCTATATCAATTCGTGATTGGTTGATTTCTGCCTGAACACCCTGGGTGATATCAATTTGCCGCTGCACCACATTATTTAAATCTGATGTAAAGGCATCCACTGTAACACAAAAATGCAATACAAAAATGATTTAAAAGTAAATGTTATCAAAATAAGCAATTAAAGAATGAGACTCTGAAATAATTAACAGAAAATGCATCTTTCAGTCATTTGTTATGATATTTCGCCAAATAACCATGACAACATGTTGGAAACATATAGTTATTCATGTTCATTGTTCTAAGTACTTGACACATGGGAAATACCAGAGAAAAAATTCTAATTGTTAATATTTAAAATTAAATCAATTATTATAATTACATATTTTTTATATTTGATTAGAATAAGAAATGTGTATGTAATTTTTGGGTTGTATAGAGCAATGGTTCAATGGGCTTACATTGATTTACTGTGTCTGACATTAACACAGATGCATTCTTCACAGTGCCCTGAATTACAGCAACAGTGTTTTCCTGACTGTTCATGGCATCTGTCAGTGCTGCATCTTGCGCTAGTGTTGTCATGGCAGTGTTGTCAGCTAAAGTTGCATCAGCTTTTCCTTCACCTACTTTGGTCATGACTTGGTTGCCTTGGAAACAATAAAAAAACTCTTATTGCATCAAAACATTAGAGATACGTCAAATCTTTAGGGAAAAAGTGAAACAAAATGACAAGTTGGTTTGCAAGTTTCTGGTTGATTTAAAAACATAATTGTTCAATTTCACATGTCTACATAAACATTTAAGATTGAAGTACATGTATGTATTCTATTTTTCCAAAATAAGCAATTAGATTAAAATATCTACTAAAATATTTCACTCTGAAAAAGAATGTACATTGTTAATGTAAATAAATCCCTTTTCACTCTTTGCAATGAACTTGGAAAAAACAAATTGACATCAGTTTTTCCACCTTAGTTGTAAATATCAAATAGAGTTGATAGACCTGACCAAACAACCCACTCTAAACATACCACTCACCAAACAACCCACTGTAAACATACCATTCACCAAACAACCCACTCTAAACATACCATTCACCAAACGACCCACTCTAAACATACCATTCACCAAACAACCCACTCTAAACATACCATTCACCAAACAACCCACTCTAAACATACCATTCACCAAACAACCCACTCTAAACATATCATTCACCAAACAACCCACTCTAAACATACCATTCACCACTGCGATGAGGTCTAATGCCTTCTGATCAAAGGCAGCAATATCGTTGTCAATATCACTCCATTTCTGGACTGCAGCATCCATTTCTCCTCTGGCATTGTCCACTTGGTTGCCCAACTCTATAACATGTTATGTGTAAATGCTGTATCATTCATGTAAGAATAAGAAGTGAGATGAAATTACAAAATAAAATATATGATATCCATGTACAAGTATTGAAAATTAAAAAAAAGAATTGCTTATTTTACTAATCTGTTGCTTTATTCCTCATTAAACGTTCCTAAATATGAGAAGTTTGTATCTGACCTTTTTCTATCAAAGTTTCTCAAAATCACAGGGTCTATTATAATGTTGGTAAATATAACTATGGTAACTATCTATTGTCATTGCAGAAGAGAGAGAACAATCAATGATAACATTTCTAATTATTTACTAATTCATACTAAGTCATGCTTACCTTGTGAATCCAGATTAGTGTTTTCAACCAATAGTGAGATTTGTGCGCTGTCATCTTTACTGGTGACAGCCAAAGCATTGAGACTATCTGATGTAACATCCTTTAGAGACTCCAAAGCTACAGAAATATAATCATTTTAATGTCTTAATTTTTTTTCAAGTAAATATGATTGTCAATGGATCAGGAGATTTTGCTGGTGAGTAATTTTGGGGGAAATAATAGCATTAATTTGAGCCATTTGCTGTAGTTTTACATATTAGGTGATAACTTGATTTCAATATTTTGTCAAAAGATGTAATTCCAGGAAACCAAGTATCAAAAAGCATGGTGTATATCTAATCATCTCCTTCACTTTTTCAAAGATTCTACCTGAGAACACTGTTTCATTGGCTAATGTTGCTAGAGCTAGGGACTGATTCAGGGTTGCAGTTGTAGTTTCATATGTATTAATCGCTGCAACTGCTCTCTCTCCTCTTGGTTTCACTTTGTCAAATTCACTGAAAGATGAAAAAAAGTATTTTCTCAGTACAAAGTATTCATGCTATCCTATATTGCATGTTCATGGACAACCCATTTGGTTAATCAATTATGATTATATTGCTTGCTTTTGGACATCCTTTTTATAGTGTTATTGATCAATTGTTCAATACTACCAAAAGACCACTTCATGCAAAGTGTTGGGTGAGGTAGGATAGTGTGAATTATCACTTTTGTGTAGAAAAAGTCGGGCCAGACCCTTTTTACTGACATGCTCAGAGTGACATTTTACTCTGTTCTCCAATCATTAATAACAATTTAACTGTTCTTACAATGCTAGATCGTTAGCAGCTCCAGTGAGTGCGCTAGCGTACACCTCAGCCTGAGTAACACTTGCAATTTAACTGTACTTACAATGCTAGATCATTAGCAGCTCCAGTGAGTGTGCTAGCGTACACCTCAGCCTGAGTAACACTTGCAATTTAACTGTACTTACAATGCTAGATCATTAGCAGCTCCAGTGAGTGTGCTAGCGTACACCTCAGCCTGAGTAACACTTGCAATTTAACTGTACTTACAATGCTAGATCATTAGCAGCTCCAGTGAGTGTGCTAGCGTACACCTCAGCCTGAGTAACACTTGCAATTTAACTGTACTTACAATGCTAGATCATTAGCAGCTCCAGTGAGTTCACTTGCGTACACCTCTGCCTGAGTAACACTTGATGTGTTGTATTCCTGATTAGACGCTATGGCATTATCTAGCTCTACAGATCCTTCTGCCCAACTGTATATACCTAGAAAATGATGATTCTAAAGTAATTACGTTATGCGAATGTATACAAACACTAAATCCCTTGTGGAGATTTTCAATATGAAATAGGAAATTAAAGTATGAGATATAACAGTGAAATGAAAGTCAGGTTTACTTGACAATTAAATGAATCTAATAAGATACATTTTGGTCCTTTAGTGTTAGTGGAATCTCATAAAACACTTCTTTTATTAACAAGTTCTACAACGGGAACTGCATAGAACTTCAGATTGTCAAAAATGGAACTAAATTTTTTTCTATATTTCTCAATTAGTCAAAATAGCAAGTTTGGGGAAACAAACTATGCATTTGATTGAAATATTCTATGAGAGTGGAAGGGATCTCCATAAGAGCCATTCTCACTTAAAAATCAAACAATGCCATGCTAGTAGTCATCAATTGCTCATGCACATTGTAAGTTATACAATCTCTAAAAACAGAGAAGTTTCTAAAAGGCATTCTCCATTCAGGTAAAACAACATTGAATAAAATGTGAACTAATGTTTAGATTTGTGCATCCTAAGCAAGCAGTGCATTTTGTGAGGAGGGTAAAGATTTCCAAGTTTTAATCATCAGCAGCTAAAAGTTGCATCCTGGGTTTCTTACATATGAGAGATTGAATGTGAAACCCTACTTATAACTCTAGACAGAAAATGTGGTGTTGTGACTTCTGACTACATTGTCTGATTGGATAAGGCAAGGAATCATCTGTTATTTAAAGAGTTGAATAGAGGTGACCTCTTGAAGAGGGTAAGAAACCAATATAAAGTGAAGTGATATCATCTCAAGCTGCAATGAAACTCACCAGAAATCTGATAAACATTATTGGACCAAACTCCCCCTTCCCCATCTGGAGAACAGTCAGGGGAACGTCCATATTTATTGTACGTGTGACACGCATTTTCACTTGAATAACATTGCCCACCAGCCTGGACAGCGAAACACCTATAACCTCGACGTAATGTTGCTTGGTAGCATTTTGATATGGCATCGACACGAAATTTGTAGGATCCATCAAGGATAGGATCTTGGCCCTCAAGTGTTGTAATGGCTCTAAGGATATTGTCCCACCAGCATCCTAGACTGGTGTACTCTGCAGGGAAGGATCAGTATTATCGTTGCACAGGAAGAAATGTATCAATCCAAGACGAGGAAAGGAAATGAAATGCCATATACCACAATTTGCAGAGAATAGATATTTGAGATATCAAACTATCTAGTCGACAAGATACACAAATACAATAGAGTAAAAATGTGTAAGGCAGCATGCATGAATGTATGAAAGATGATAATAGCTTATGTGGACACCTGTAAATATAGGACTGTTAAAAGGCATACATGTACTGTGAAAGACACATGTGTATGACATATGCAAATAAACATTTTTAGGAAGCGTGTGAAAGACACATGGAAACAACATCATGACAACAACATAAGACACAGATCTACAGTGCCATAAGACACCTGGTCGATGAAACATGTAAAATACACACAGATCTACAGTGCCATAAGACACCTGGTCGATGAAACATGTAAAATACACACAGATCTACAGTGCCATAAGACACCTGGTTGATGAAACATGTAAAATACACACAGATCTACAGTGCCATAAGACACCTGGTTGATGAAACGTGTAAAATACACACAGATCTTCAGTGCCATAAGACACCTGATTGATGAAACATGTAAAATACACACAGATCGACAGTGCCATAAGACACCGGGTTGGTGAAAAATGTAAAAAACACACAGATCTTCAGTGCCATAAGACACCTGGTTGATGAAACATGTAAAATACACACAGATCTACATTGCCATAAGACACCTGGTTGATGAAACATGTAAAAACACACAGATCTTCAGTGCCATAAGACACCTGGTTGATGAAACGTGTAAAGTACACACAGATCTACAGTGCCATAAGAAACCTGGTTGATGAAACGTGTAAAATACACACAGATCTTCAGTGCCATAAGACACCTGGTTGATGAAACATGTAAAATACACACAGATCTACATTGCCATAAGACACCTGGTTGAGGAAAAATGTAAAACACACACAGACTGCAGTGCCATAAGACACCTGGTTGATGAAACATGTAAAAAACACATGTCTGAGAAAAATGTAAAACACATATTATAAACAACAACTGACTAAAGACATCTTGAATCACTACAATACCACATATGATAGAGTAAACACAAGTAACTTATATATGTACATGGTGTTAAATATGTATACACCATGGATGTACAATTCAACAATACAAAAAGGAAGAGAGCAATTGTCAGACTTAACAAGACAGATAGCAGATGGCCACTCCACTGTTGACATGGCAACGGCACAACTTAATTAAGAAAAGTATCGCTCCTCTACCAAATATAAATTCCCATAGTAACCCAATCACCCATGCTCACTCACCATGCACCCATGTACTCAATATACACAAACATCCATAAACAATATTAACATACGCATACAAAATCCCCATCCAAAATAAATGCATTGCGTAACAAATAAGCAAACTAAAACTCTCCTTGATATTATATTTTAAATGCATTTTTAATGTAAAGTAATTTGTATTCATGACAAAATTGACAAGCTCAATTTTTGTTCATTATATGGTATTCCACATTTGATTTAGCAAAGATGGGAAATCCTTTTCAAGGCCAAATTCATATGTTACTCTTGAATTTCTGATACAATCATTGTCCCAAGCACCTACCTTGGGCATATACATTTGAGTTGAGAGGTAACAATCCAACTAGGATACCCCCATACAATATAGTGTCCGTGTCCTTGAATGCTTGGGCCCCTTCATTAAAGCTGGTCTCACTCAACGCAAGGGTAGTAGTCGCCATGCTCTGACTTGATTCTATCTCCCCTACCAAGCTATCTGTGTAGTTTTTGTGGCCCTGGAAAACATGGCAAAAGTTATAGGAAGGCAGAAATGTAATTATCTTATTCAGCATACATTTGTTTAACTATATTAATGAAACCGCAATTGTAATAGACAGTTTAGTGATTTAGTGATAATCACTTTGATGATTTCTTTTTTCAATTCATGGCCCTCATAATTAATAGCGTTCTCTCAGGATTTCCATTCTTTTTCTGTCATTTTTTTATAATCATTTTAAAGATGTAGCTCAACACTGTTTTAATCTTCAAACTAGCGAAAAGTGTACCCTATTTATTTTATTTTCATTATTTATTTATATACCCTAAGCATCAGAATAAGTACTTCCCAAATTTCCTTGCAAAACAATACCATTTTAGTGGAACATTTCAACCTTTTGGCTGCAACTACAAAATTTCCAGAGTTGAAACGAGACGATTGTCCTAGCCTATTTGTAACAATTTTATCTAGTTAGTACTTGGAGTCTAGCTTGAATTAAATGGTTTTGACTGTACACTGATCTTCAACATATTGTTTTTAATACAATCATAAATTGTAGGAAGAGCAGACATAATAAACAAACCATCCCCTCAGTGATTAGTAGATCTATTCTCTGAACCGTTGACTCTACATCTCCTGTGCGTCCTAGAAGTGTCTCCCCCTGGAGGAGCAATTGTTGAAATTCAGCCTCTGCAGCAAGACAACTCTCTCGCATTTCTTCAAATTGTGTTGCCTGAAATTAAACATTTCATGTTCAAGTCCAAAAGTTTTATTGAAACAACATAATAAGCAATACATAGAGAGGTCCTGTAAGTTGAATAATTCAAATAAGATGTTTCTGGTTCCTTCATTGAATCAACATGATATAAAAGATTTAGTAACATTGAAAATTTAGTAACATGACAGAAAGAGATGCATAGTAACAAGAGAGTAAGAGAAAACTTAGTCAAAGGACAGGAAGAGATGCGTAGTAACAAGAGAGTAAGAGAAAACTTAGTCAAAGGACAGGAAGAGATGCATAGTAACAAGAGAGTAAGAGAAAACTTAGTCAAAGGACAGAAAGAGATGCGTAGTAACAAGAGAGTAAGAGAAACTTAGTCAAAGGACAGAAAGAGAAACATGTACATATATATAGAGTACACAAACCTGGTCATTTGTTTTATTGCGCATTATCGCCACATCAACAGCTAAAGTATTCATGAGGGGGGTCTCTGCTTGTATACGTCCAATCTCATCAGAGAATGTATTGTCCATGTGTACGTATATAATATCAGTTACATCAAGTAGCTGCAATAAAAATAAATGATTATTATGAATATGATACTATTCAATCATTAAATGCTGTCAGAAATTTCTGTTGATCAACTAAAATGTTAAAACTGTACTTGTTTATTTGAAACATTTATTCACTCCATTGTTAAAAACTCTAAATATTATTTGTTTTATGGAAACCATTCTAATTTAATTCCTAGAGTGTTATTAATAAAATCATGGTGCGTTTTTGAGAAAATGTAGGGTCTACAATCCACTCGTCAAACTTTCTTTTAACCAACATTTTCTTCCAAAATATGTCGCAAAGAATACTATTGATCAAAGCTTCTAGCATGCAACAGCAAAATAACTGTGGTGTGATCTACGTTCCACACTTACGCCTTGGACTGTGGTGTTATACATGGTGAGTTGCTCTACTAAAAGGTGAGCTGTTGTATTCTCTTCCTTTGCTATCTGAACTGATAGATTTGCATTTGTCTCAAGCTGCTGTATCCGCATCAATTCAGCCTCCGTATCCCTCTGGAGTTGATCTGTATTATCCACTGTTGAATTGAGCTGGAGAGACAAGTACATGTATATTCAATCATTAAACTTATTAAGCTTATAATCAAGAAAAAGGGGTGGACTTTTGAATAAGCTTTTTACCAAACTAATATCTGGAGCAAATCTGTATTATTTAGTGTTGAATTAGATTGGAGATATAAATAAACAAATTAATATTGTGGTTTAGCATTTTTTGATTTACAGGGTGATCCAAAAATGCAACCCTCCATTTCTTCAACAGTTTTCTTAAATGGAGGTTGATTTGGGTTTTTGACAGTTCCGTCTGTTCTAAACTTCCTATATCTAAAAATCAATGATTTATCTGTGTAATGATGACATTCATAACTTTCCTTCCCATCTAAAAATCAACAACAATGGTTTACTGGGTAACGCGATATTCAAACTTATGTCTAAATTCAGCTTGAGCTGGAACAAAGGATTTTCTACGAAAGTATGCCTTAATGATAAAGGATTATTCCCCTTTTGAACACAACATATTCTGAAAATAAAAGCACTACATTATCCCACATTGCATGTACTATCTGAAAATCAAAAATAATTAAGATATCTGTTATATTAAGAAAGTTATTCAAGAAATGGAGGGTTGCATTTTTGGGTCACCCTGTATATGGATTTAATAACTGTTATAAAAAAAGAAATGGGAGTGGAATTTGGATTTAAGCTTTTTATCTTTAATGATTTAACTTGTATTTTCAAATATTTGATGGCAGGTGGATGCATAAAAAGTGCATGCATGCACTAATTTATTCTCGCGTTTTATGATTTTAGCTATTTTTGATTATACTTTGTTCCTATAATTTCTGCTTCTTCAGTACCTTGGTTAGAAGATCTGTAAGATTCTGTTGTAGCACTGGCTCTATAGCTTTCAGTGATTCTGTGCTCACACTGAGCACATCAAGTGCATCCTCAGTGACACCAAATCCTCCCAAAGTATTATTCAGCACCTGAAATATAAGACAAGATGTCAAATGATTTATGTCTGTAGGTGGGAGGAGGGGGGGGGGGTATTTACAAAAGGTATCTTGAAAAAAGCCATGTTTTAAAACAGGCCTAAAACCTTATGGAGAACTGAGTAATGAAACCAACTTATAGCAATCGTTACATTTAAACTTTTGCCTTTGTGAGCATTTCTGGATACAAGTCAAATCATCCCCTAAATTGGTCCTTTATACAAGAGATAAATAGAAAACAGCAACTCCATGGAGAAGCGAATCCCAAATTCCTTCGAGCAGAGGTCCTACACCCATAAGGAATAAGCCTATATTTGAATCAAATCCATCAACCGGTATTCGAGTTATCATCCGGACACACAGATGAAAGGACGGATGTATGGACAGACGTCATTTGTTGCTGCTGCATCAGTGTCTTCATTTATTGTTTTCTTATTTCTTTGTTTTCATTTGATTGTCATGTTAGATATTATTCTTTCTTCATGGTTGGCTTTCCTATATCCTCCTTGAATTTCATTCAGTGGGATAATTAACATAAAGGTCACCCTTATAATTTGGTAAGGTTTTGTAGATCTCTGTCATTGTCTTGTATCTGTGGGATAATTAACATAAAGGTCACCCTTATACCTTGGTTAGGTTTTGTAGATCTCTGTCATTGTCTTGTATCTGTGGCATAATTAACATAAAGGTCACCCTTATACCTTGGTTAGGTTTTGTAGATCTCTGTCATTGTCTTGTATCTGTGGGATAATTAACATAAAGGTCACCCTTATACCTTGGTTAGGTTTTGTAGATCTCTGTCATTGTCTTGTATCTGTGGCATAATTAACATAAAGGTCACCCTTATACCTTGGTTAGGTTTTGTAGATCTCTGTCATTGTCTTGTATCTGTGAGATAATTAACATAAAGGTCACCCTTATACCTTGGTTAGGTTTTGTAGATCTCTGTCATTGTCTTGTATCTGTGGGATAATTAACATAAAGGTCACCCTTATACCTTGGTTAGGTTTTGTAGATCTCTGTCATTGTCTTGTATCTGTGGGATAATTAACATAAAGGTCACCCTTATACCTTGGTTAGGTTTTGTAGATCTCTGTCATTGTCTTGTATCTGTGGGATAATTAACATAAAGGTCACCCTTATACCTTGGTTAGGTTTTGTAGATCTCTGTCATTGTCTTGTATCTGTGGGATAATTAACATAAAGGTCACCCTTATACCTTGGTTAGGTTTTGTAGATCTCTGTCATTGTCTTGTATCTGTGGGATAATTAACATAAAGGTCACCCTTATACCTTGGTTAGGTTTTGTAGATCTCTGTCATTGTCTTGTATCTGTGGGATAATTAACATAAAGGTCACCCTTATACCTTGGTTAGGTTTTGTAGATCTCTGTCATTGTCTTGTATCTGTGGGATAATTAACATAAAGGTCACCCTTATACCTTGGTTAGGTTTTGTAGATCTCTGTCATTGTCTTGAATCTGTGGGATAATTAACATAAAGGTCACCCTTATACCTTGGTTAGGTTTTGTAGATCTCTGTCATTGTCTTGCATCTGTGGGATAATTAACATAAAGGTCACCCTTATACCTTGGTTAGGTTTTGTAGATCTCTGTCATTGTCTTGTATCTGTGAGATTATTAACATAAAGGTCACCCTTATACCTTGGTTAGGTTTTGTAGATCTCTGTCATTGTCTTGTATCTGTGGGATAATTAACATAAAGGTCACCCTTATACCTTGGTTAGGTTTTGTAGATCTCTGTCATTGTCTTGAATCTGTGGGATAATTAACATAAAGGTCACCCTTATACCTTGGTTAGGTTTTGTAGATCTCTGTCATTGTCTTGCATCTGTGGGATAATTAACATAAAGGTCACCCTTATACCTTGGTTAGGTTTTGTAGATCTCTGTCATTGTCTTGTATCTGTGAGATAATTAACATAAAGGTCACCCTTATACCTTGGTTAGGTTTTGTAGATCTCTGCCATTGTCTTGTATCTGTGGGATAATTAACATAAAGGTCACCCTTATACCTTGGTTAGGTTTTGTAGATCTCTGTCATTGTCTTGTATCTGTGGGATAATTAACATAAAGGTCACCCTTATACCTTGGTTAGGTTTTGTAGATCTCTGTCATTGTCTTGTATCTGTGGGATTATTAACATAAAGGTCACCCTTATACCTTGGTTAGGTTTTGTAGATATCTGTCATTGTCTTGAATCTGTGGGATAATTAACATAAAGGTCACCCTTATACCTTGGTTAGGTTTTGTAGATCTCTGTCATTGTCTTGCATCTGTGGGATAATTAACATAAAGGTCACCCTTATACCTTGGTTATGTTTTGTAGATCTCTGTCATTGTCTTGTATCTGTGAGATAATTAACATAAAGGTCACCCTTATACCTTGGTTAGGTTTTGTAGATCTCTGTCATTGTCTTGTATCTGTGGGATAATTAACATAAAGGTCACCCTTATACCTTGGTTAGGTTTTGTAGATCTCTGTCATTGTCTTGTATCTGTGAGATAATTAACATAAAGGTCACCCTTATACCTTGGTTAGGTTTTGTAGATCTCTGTCATTGTCTTGTATCTGTGGGATAATTAACATAAAGGTCACCCTTATACCTTGGTTAGGTTTTGTAGATCTCTGTCATTGTCTTGTATCTGTGGGATAATTAACATAAAGGTCACCCTTATACCTTGGTTAGGTTTTGTAGATCTCTGTCATTGTCTTGAATCTGTGGAATAATTAACATAAAGGTCACCCTTATACCTTGGTTAGGTTTTGTAGATCTCTGTCATTGTCTTGTATCTGTGGGATAATTAACATAAAGGTCACCCTTATACCTTGGTTAGGTTTTGTAGATCTCTGTCATTGTCTTGTATCTGTGGGATAATTAACATTAAGGTCACCCTTATACCTTGGTTAGGTTTTGTAGATCTCTGTCATTGTCTTGTATCTGTGGCATAATTAACATAAAGGTCACCCTTATACCTTGGTTAGGTTTTGTAGATCTCTGTCATTGTCTTGTATCTGTCCCAGGTGTTGACTAACATTCCAATATTCCATCCAGATATCCTTCAGGAGCTGAGTATCATTTCCTAATCCATATTGGCATCTCCCACATTCTAAATGTACAAATATACGAGTACACCAAACATTAATGTATTTTTAGCATGCATATAGAGAATAACTGTATCTAAGACTAAATTTTTACCAAAAAATTAAAGGCTAAATTAGCTAATGAAATTATTATCGTAGTTTCAGATTATTTTTGTTTTCCTGAAAAGTTGGGGAAGGAATTATTTTCTGGTTATTTATTTTCACCATGGAAAAATAAATGCACAATACAAATTATTACATTTCACCCTGTAGTCCGATTTAGTTATACATGTACTAAAGCTGATCAACATTTTCATGCATACTTACGTCTACATCCTGCGTCTGTGAAATCGAAATAAAGTCTCTGGCATTGGTCGCAATTTCTCCCATCAACCCCTGGTTTACACTTACACTGGCCTGTGATTGGCTCGCATGGATCATGCCCTAATGTACCAGTCTCGTTACATGAGCACTCTGTTGAAAAAATGAAGAAATACTTTAAATGGGTTTCATTAGGTACATTTTATGAAATACAGGGTGTCCCAAAAAAGGAAACCAGCATTTAATTGCTTATTTCTCAAATGTGAATAAAAATAAGAACATTTCACGCTATCATCTTATAGGTTATGATGTCCCCTTTCTTATGATGAAAGTTGTCTATTCTCCTTCACGGATGACTGAGTTCTAAGGGATTTAAGTGACCATTTTTTGGGACACCCTGTAAATAGCTTCCTATTTGCTTGTGTAAAATACCCTTGACCAAAAAGCTTGACTTATCTACCATCTTTAAATTAGACAGGATTCTTCTAGCCAACATTCAATCAGAATATGAAGTCAGAAAACATACCAATTATATACCAATTAGTAGCTAATATTTATTTCACACTCAAATTCACAGGAAAAACTATGAAGCCACATTTGTGATTATTAAGATCCAGTCTCCATCAAATGGAAGTGTAACAAACCAAAGGCATTTTAGTGGACTAGAAGCAAAACCAAATTCAGTTAGAAACACACAACATAAATCCATAATATACCTTGACACTCCTGTGTGGGTAAACCAAAGAATCCAGTTGTGCAAAGATCACACTTCTCCACATTTTCCACATTAGGCTTGCAAATACAGACTCCTGTGTCTTGGATGCATTGTGTAGTTTCACTACCAAACACATTACATTCACAGTCAATGCATCCTAAAAAGAGAAATAACATTGTTTGAGACTCTTAAAATAGGAGATGGGTCAGACACCCATAGCTCATGTGCAACAAATTACTTCCCCTGGTAAGGTCCCCGAGAGGCCAGAATGTATCAATGGGTTCAATGTCATAATCATTTCAGTGTCATAACTGATGGGTTATAATGGGTTCACTTCATAATGGGTTCAATGCTATAATAGAACCAATAGTGGAAATGAAAGTTAAGTAAAATTCTATGGATTTGAATAACATTACATATGTATAAATAAAGTAGAACAAAATGAAAAGTTTTCACTGTTTCTTCTTACCAAGGAATGATGTGTTGCTGTAGCCCCAGTAGTCAACCATACATTGGTTGCATGTGGGGTTGGTCACACCTGGGTAGCATTCACACTGCCCTGAGGTCCTGTTACATACACTATTGTTTGTGCCCCTCATATCGCAGTCACATGCTGAAATATGAGTATTAAGCATAAATATTACTATTAGTACTAAGGTAGCATTCAAACTGTCCAGAGGTCCTGTTACATACACTGTTGTTTGTGCCCCTCATATCGCAGTCACATGCTGAAATATTTTTTTAAGAAAATGTTGATCATCTCATTTAATTATCAAAATCTACTCCTGAGTACACAAACATGACAGACTTATTTGAGATAATTTGAAATTAAATTTAATCCATCCAAAGATCATCTTTCATGTTGTTCTTAAAAAGATGATTTCTTGAGTTTTATGCATGGATATTTTGCCATTGGTAGAATGTCTAAAATACATACCATTACAATGCTGTGTGGCTGCATTGCCAAAGGTTCCATCCTCACAATGTTCACAGTAGAAGCCAGTAGTATTATGTGCACAGTTCAAACACTCTCCTGTTGTAGAATTACAGTCATTGGTGTTCCCACTACAGTTACATTGTGTACATGTACCAGTGTCAAGCACATGTGGATCTCCCCAGTAGAATGTATCACAACTGAAATATTAAGAGCAAGTCATTGGTATTCCCACTACAGTTACATTGTGTACATGTACCAGTGTCAAGCACATGAGGATCTCCCCAGTAGAAAGTATCACAACTGAAATATTAAGAGCAAGTCATTGGTATTCCCACTACAGTTACATTGTGTACATGTACCAGTGTCAAGCACATGTGGATCTCCCCAGTAGAATGTATCACAACTGAAATATTAAGTGCAAGTCATTGGTATTCCCACTACAGTTACATTGTGTACATGTACCAGTGTCAACTGGTCAAGCGCATGAGGATCTCCCCAGTAGAATGTATCGCAACTGAAATATTAAGAGCAAGTCATTGGTATTCCCACTACAGTTACATTGTGTACATGTACCAGTGTCAAGCACATGTGGATCTCCCCAATAGAATGTATCACAACTGAAATATTAAGAGCAAGTCATTGGTATTCCCACTACAGTTACATTGTGTACATGTACCAGTGTCAAGCACATGTGGATCTCCCCAGTAGAATGTATCACAACTGAAATATTAAGAGCAAGTCATTGGTATTCCCACTACAGTTACATTGTGTACATGTACCAGTGTCAAGCACATGTGGATCTCCCCAGTAGAATGTATCACAACTGAAATATTAAGAGCAAGTCATTGGTATTCCCACTACAGTTACATTGTGTACATGTACCAGTGTCAAGCACATGTGGATCTCCCCAGTAGAATGTATCACAACTGAAATATTAAGAGCAAGTCATTGGTATTCCCACTACAGTTACATTGTGTACATGTACCAGTGTCAAGCACATGTGGATCTCCCCAGTAGAATGTATCACAACTGAAATATTAAGTGCAAGTCATTGGTATTCCCACTACAGTTACATTGTGTACATGTACCAGTGTCAACTGGTCAAGCACATGAGGATCTCCCCAGTAGAATGTATCACAACTGAAATAGTCTAAAAATCCATGTGTGGATCTGAATTAAGTTATTGCACTATACATACATGTACATATACTTGTTCTGCTAGCACATGAATATTATTTGAAAGTAATAAACATGGTCCTAATTCAGTGGGCTCCATTATGAGAATATTTTGTACCTGTCACATTTGTCCCCTGTGTATCCTGGGTTACAATGGAGACACTGTACTGTGCCATTCTCTATACAGCTTGTGTTGGAGACACGTGGAGCATGACATGGACACACAGTGCAATCATCATCTGGGGTACCTTGGGTAGCATCACCATACCATCCCAGCATGCACTGCTCACAATTGAACCCTGGTAATAAAGGAAGTGCAATGCAATGTAATACATAGGATATCCTATGATTCTGAGAATGTTTCATTATATCACTGGCCAATCGTACCACACTTAATGTTACCAAATCATGTGTTCAAACATTGATACAAACATTAACACATGTTTAAACCTAGTTTGTGGCCTAGTTTGAGCACTTTATTTTCCTCAGGGAACAACACATAAGAAAACCCTTTCAACATACCTGTAGTATTGTGTTGACAGTCAAGGCAATGACCTGTATCAGCATCACATAGGGAAGCATGACGATGGCAGTTACATCGTACACATAGACCAAGGTAGTCATGTGATGTAACATTCACTCTATTGAACCCACTGGCACATCTCTGTAATGGAGGAATTGCACTATTAATCCAACATATTTTCATATAGATACGCATTTGTTTGCCAGGAAAAGCTGACTTTCCTTGCATATATTCAGGAATAAAAAATCCTTCACTCTGATATTCATATTCAAATATGTAACTTCTAGTGACCTTTACTGACATACCTCACAAGAAAGACCAGTGTACCCATCCCCACATGTACATTGCTCTACCCCCAAGGCAACTTTGCCTGAGGCCTCAAGACCAGCACTGGTGACAATAATTTCCCCAACTCTGAAAAGAAATGTACTTTACTACCTGAAATATGTAGCTATTCATGTAGATATTTGCTTTAAAATATATAGCCATAGATTTAACCTTGGTAGTTTTTCTTTTATCCTTTTTATTTTAGCTGAAACCTAGTTTATGAGATTACAAATTTTTTTAACACATTTGAAAACTTATTACCCTGTGTGCAGAGTCTAGTTAAACTACGAAGACGAAGATGAAGACTAAGCTCTCTTTTAAGAAGTAAAGTCAAACGAATGCAAAGGGTAAAAACTTATTCAACAGATTAAGGTGCTCGTGGAACAAAAACATTTTGAAAAAAATTGCTTTTACACCTGCACATGTTATTTTTTGGTACAAAATAAAGTATGAAGCCATGTGTGTATTTCCTTGGTCAATGGTAACTCCAGTGTTGTCCAGAAACTTTGAGAAAATTTTGGAAAATTAGAAAACATGAATTACGTATCAGCATTTCCTAGAGTTTCCATTGACTTCTTACCACATTTACCACACACTAAAAGAAGACAATTTAATGATACTTTCCTGAAGAAGCAAGGATATAATAAGGTCTGTTGCTTAATCATGTTTTGTAATGAAATACAAATGATTTTTCTATAACATACCTTGAATAATGCGATTTGCTATAAATGGTGATTGGCAGATAAATGTTCTTTACATCATGGACAGTCAATAGGAACTCGCCACGTGTCACATTCTCATTGGTCGATAGCTTCAACCAATAGGTCTCCAACATGACTAGATCAATGGTTGTTGTCATATTCTGGGTCACAGGTGGAAGCTGATACACGAGCGTAACATCATCATGACCTATTAGAAACACCTTTAGTCCCTCTAGGGTATCGCCATCTGGTGTAATGCCCTCAAAGTGGACTTTATAACTGATTGTGCTTTCATATGTACCCAGCATATTTCCTGCAAGTTCAAGAATGAAACTAAATAATAAGTATTTAATTTTGCAATTTTGTATTGCTTAAAACACAGGGACATTTATCAGACTTAATTCCATCAAGATTTCCTGACAACCAGCATCCTCCTAGATACATATGGAATGCATGTACATGGATGTGGCACATCTGGGTTCAAACCTCACGGCTGCCTGGCTGCCCTGCCAATGCCAATCACTTTTGGCATTAAACTGGATATGGACTGTGAATGGCAATATGTTTAACTGTAGATTCAAGCTTAGCCATAAACCTAATACTAGAAGAAGAAGCAGCTCTTCAATGTGAGTCTTACCTTGTAGTTGATCATGCAGAAAGTACAAGTCCATGGTGCCATCATTGAGGACTTGGGCCATGGACAGACCATTGACAATGACAGTGCTAACATCAATTTCAGGCATGAGCTGGAATTCACTGTTCAACATGCTGAATGGAGAGAGCAGGTAGGAAATGTTGGGACTGCTACTGTCCAGTAAGGGAAGGTTCTCCTAGAAACAGAAAAATAGAAAACAAAGAAATTAGGATGCATCTTTTCCTGCAACATCCAGCACATTGACACATCAATAGACTGAAAATCAACCTTTTTTCAAAATAACTGTCTCAGAACTGTTACAATCCTGTCTTGTGCCCTTAACTATTGCTTACCTGGCCATAATTGTATATAGTGCTAGTACAAACGTTGGTGACCCCCATACATATACACTCCAAGCAACCTGTCCAATGTCCCCCATTGAGATAGAAGCTTCCCATACTGCAAGTGTCACAGAGCAAGCCGTTGGTGAAGTTCTGAAATTAATCATAGGAATTAAGCCACATGGTCCCCTAATATCATAACTTTATCACAGTTCTCTTTACAAGCATGTGGAAAAAAATATTTTTACCCCTTCTCTGCATTACATGTACAAACAGATATAATAAATATTTAATCATACCTTGCAAGGGCATTGTCCTTGCTCTGTATCACAAACAGCACTAAGACTGCCTTCCATGTCACAATTGCATCCAGTGCACCCTATGGCAGAGAAATCCCTGTTAAAGAGATTACAAATTAAATCATTTATGGAATTTAACTAGAAAAACAGCAACTCCACGGAGTAGCAAATCCCACCGAACAAAACATGTTTTGATAAATAGCGGCCATATAAAATTTGAGTCAAATCCATCCACTGGTATTTGAATTATCAAAAATTATGTTTTTATGAAACATGGTGGCCATTTTGAAATTCAGCTATCATCTTTAGATTTCTTCTGTAGCAGAGCTCCTATGTCCCAAGGCATCAGCATATAGAATTCAATCCAAATCCGTCAACTGGTACTTGAGTTATCAAGGATTACATGTTTAATGAAAAATGGCAGAGATTTCAACAAATAGCAGCCACCTCGAAAATTTCTTCTCAAGCAGAGCTCCTTTATCATATAAAATTTGAAATAAATCCATCCAATGATATTTGAGTTTGATTACATTTTTTTACGAAAAATGTCCTCCATTTTGAAATTCAGTGGCCATCTTGAAAATGTCTTCTTGAGCAGAAGTTCTTTGTCTCTAGGCATCAGCATATAGAATTTGAACCAAATCCATCAACTGGTATTTGAGTTATCAAAGGTTATGTTCTTTTATGAAAAATGGTGGCCATTTTGTAATTTAGCTGTCATCTTGAAAATCCCTTCTCAAGCAGAGCTCCTATGTCCTTAGGCATCAGCATGTAAAATTTGAACCAAATCCATTCAATGGTATTTGAGTTATCAAAGATAATGTTTCTTTACAAAAAATGGCCGCCATTTTGAAATATGGCGGCCACCTTGAAAATGTCTTCTTGAGCAAGGCCCTTTTGTACCCAGGCAACAGCATATAAAATTTGAACCAAATCCATCCACTAGTATTTGAGTTATCAAAGATTATATTTTTTCCAAAAAATGGCTCACATTTTGAAATATGGCGGCCACCTTGAAAATGTCTTCTTGAGCAAGGCCCTTTTGTACCCAGGCAACAGCATATAAAATTTGAACCAAATCCATCCACTAGTATTTGAGTTATCAAAGATTATATTTTTTCCAAAAAATGGCCGCCATTTTGAATTTAGTGGCCAAATTGAAAATTCCTTCTCGAGTGGAGGTCCTACACCCACGCCCGGTGATCGTGAATATGGGACGGAGGGGGGAGCAGGCAATTTCTGCTAGGAAATTCAACAAATCTGGAAGATTTATTTTTTCACGAAAAAGTTTACTATTGAATTGCTAAATGGATAGGCGCACGGTATCATAGAATATGTTAGGTTTTCTGGGATGTTTTCTGAAACGATACGCATCTGAGGTATGAGATCTATTAAAAAAGGCGCAATGCCATCAACAGGCACAAATCAACGTTTTTGCTATAAATCAAGCAACAATGGTCTGGACGACCTGTAATAAATACTCGTAAGTGATGTTATCATAACTAAATTAATGTCATTGCTGAATTTATAAAATAAGTTTCCATATGTGAAATAAAAAATAATCGAAAATAATGAATTTGAGATGGAGGGGGGGGGGGAGGGGACGGAGGGGGGAGCAATATGTATATAAGACATGATTAGAGATGTTTCGCGACTTTAAGTCCTTTTACTCCAAATGTCCCCATTTTTCAGTCTCCAGGGGTATATCATCCAGTTTCTTACTAAGTTAATGAGTTCATTTTTCAAATACAACAATTCGTGTGAAGTTGTTTCACTTTAGAGAATTATTACTCCCCCCCTCTGTCCCCTCCCCCCTCCGCCCCATTTTAATTATTTTCGATTATTTTTTATTTTACGTATGGAAACTTATTTTATAAATTCAGCAATGACATTAATTTAGTTATGATAACATCACCTACAAGTATTTATTACAGGTCGTGTAGTCCATTGTTGCTTGATTTATAGCAAAAACGTTGATTTGTGCCTGTTGATGGCCTTGCGCCTTTTTTAATAGATCTCATATCTTAGATGCATATCGTTTCAGAAAAAATCCCAGAAAACCTAACATATTCTACCATACCGTGCGCCTATCCATTTAGCAATTCAATAGTAAACTTTTTCTTGAAAAAATAAATCTTCCAGATTTGTTGAATTTCCCAGCAGAAATTGCCTGCTCCCCCCTCCGTCCCATATTCACAATCACCGGGCGTGACACCCATAAGGCATATGCCTATAAAATTTGAATGAAATCCATCAACCAGTATTTGAGTTATTGCCCGGACACACGAACGGATGGACGGACTTTCTATATCCCCCTCGAACTTCGTTCGGTGGGATAATAAACTACAGCCATTCTTGTTGGATATTAAAGAAGGTTGTTAGAAGGAACAAAGTAGAAATAGTTGTTGACCATTTAAGACTATTCATTTATTCAAATTATATAATAAACAAGGCATCACCTGTCATTTTTTAAAGATGCTGAACAAGACAACAGATGCAGCCAACAAATAAGTTGGAGACTATAACAATATGTCACCACATGTCACACTTCTAATGGTGACATAACAATATGTCACCACATGTCACACTTCTAATGGTGACATAACAATATGTCACCACATGTCACACTTCTAATGGTGACATAACAATATGTCACCACATGTCACACTTCTAATGGTGACATAACAATATGTCACCACATGCCACACTTCTGATGGCGACATAAAAATGAATGAAAATGAGAGAAAACATAATGCGAAGATGAGCTAGAATATCATTTTGATGATTTTACGGTTAGATCAAGATGTTTTTAGTTTCTTCCATGTCATTCAATTTCTTGAATGTATTGTCAGTGCTTATTGCAAAACACATTTTCTGTTTGTTTTTATTTGGTGATATAAAAAAAAGAAAAATAGTAATGCATACCTGTATGTATCCATGCATCTATCACATTTGTCACCATTTACCCCTGATTTACAATCGCAGAACCCCGCAGTAAGGTTACACTGCAGATTGAGAGAACCAGTCATATTGCAGGCGCAATCCTGAAAATGAAAATATATTCTTCATCAATTTGTCACGAGGGAATGTTAGTTGGAAGTTTCTGTGGGGAAGTTTCACACAAAATTCTAAACATAATCTATTGTTAGAGCACAAAATCACCCTTGCGTTCACAAAATTACTTTTTCAGAATATTTTAAGTTAACAGCATAGCCCTTTAATACTAAATTTGGAAATGTGTAGAATGCAGTGTGAAAAATACTTTAAAATACTTTCAAAAGTGCTATTTACACAGTTCACCCTAGTTTGAGCAAAGGGGTTACTGATAACAGGTCTTTGGCTGCTACAACTTCTCTGTTATGTTTTTCATTCAATGGCAAACCCATGCTTACCTGGCAACCTACAGTGCTGTTCCAGCTCCAATGGTTGGCTATACATTGGTCACACTGCCTGCCCTCTGTGTTGGGTGGACACTTGCATTGACCAGAAGTAAAGTCACATATCTTATCATCACCAGAACAGTTACAAGCTGGAGAATATAGAAAGTTCATGCATCTTTGAAGTTCATGTCATAGGGATCATTCTTTCATAATACTGTAGCAATATCTCTCCAGTTAAGTAACCAATTTAGCATTTAAAAATCTAATTTGACCTAGCTGAAAATTTTGAGAATCCTTAGAATATGCAAAATTTGGAGCGTAATTATACAATTTGTGTAAATATTACAAATTCACATCAAATAAATTTTCTAAATAAAGTCATACGTTTGCAACCAGTGGAAGAGAGGTCATAGTATTCCAGCATGCATTGGTCACATTTGCGGCCCATCACTCCAGGTTTGCAATGGCATTGGCCCATATATGTGTCACATGTGTTGTTATAGGAGCCTAGGAGATTACAGGCACATGACAGGGAGCCATCGAGATAATAGGACATCACAGAGAACATGGACCTCAAACAGAGACTTTCATCTGAGGTGCCCAGTCTGAAAAAGAAAAGAGTTAAGAGTCAAAAACTAAACAACAGCAATGCCAAAGCATAGCAAATCCCATCTAACAGCCATGGTTGGCATTTTTACAAACAAAGTATCAAGCAAAAATGGCAGCCATTTTTCTAAATGACCACTTTCTACCACAAGTGTCATTAGACAGTGTGCCATGCTCATAGTATTCACATACCAAATATGAACAGAATCGCTCCACTACTTTTCGAGTTATAGTAAAATAGGATAAAATGGTGGCCATTTTTCAAAATGGCCGCCATCTACCAAAAGTGTCATAAGACAGAGTGCCATGCTTGTAGTATTCACATACCAAATATGAACAAAATCGCTCTGCTACTTTTCAAGGTATAGCAAAATACGTTAAAATGGCGGCCATTTTTCAAAATGGCCACCTTCTACCAAAAGTGTCATTAGACAGTGTGCCATGCTTATAGTATTCACATACCAAATATGAACAAAATCGCTCCACTACTTTTCGAGTTATAGTAAAATACATTAAAATGGTGGCCATCTTGAAAAATGGCTGCCTTCTACCAAAAGTGTCATTAGACAGTGTGCCATGCTTATAGTATTCACATACAAAATATGAACAAAATCGCTCCACTACTTTTGGAGTTACAGCAAAAATCGTAAAATAGCAATAAAGGCCGCCATTTTTCAAGATGACTGCCATGTGCTTTTAACATCTACATTTCTAGCTTCATTAATGTCCAATATAATTTTTTTTACATTTTAAACATATTGCTATTACAGTTTTACATAGTGTACCTAAATTACTGTAAAATCGGCACTAAAATTAGAATTAGCGGCCATTTTGAAAATCGGCTTTCGAGCAGAACTTCTACCCCCATAGGGTATATGTTTACAAAATATGAACAAATTCGGGCCAACTGTATTTGAGTTATTGCCCGGAAAAGTACGGACAGATGGAGGCGTTCCCTATATCCCTCCGAACTTCGTTCGATGGGAAAATAAGAAACAGAAATATTTTAGTTTGTTTATTGTATTCTTCTGATTCTTCAAATAAGTATAATAATGACCTATCTGATTAAAATATATCCCTTTCTAATATACAGGGTGTCAAAAAACAACGGCACCCCCTCTACAGCAAAAAGTCCTGAATCATACCTCATTTGAAAGATAATTTAATTCTGGAGTTACTCCTCAAATTTCATTTAATAAAACTTTATATTAAAAAAGCTACATTGTTTTTAAGTTTGCTACTTCGGTACTTTGTTTGCTGCTCTGTTACTGGTTAAAGGTCAAATCTTCAAAAAGTGGAATATGAAAGAATTAGCCCAGATTTCAACTGCAGTGGACATATGGGTTCAGTTTTGAAAAACAGGGTACAGGAACTGATGGACAAAGAGCCTCCTGAAAAAAGTAACAGTTAGGATGTATTTCTGAAGAATGTGAGGAAAATGCTTAGAGGATTATGCAATGCTACACCTTTATCTGAATTTTTATTGAAATCATATCCGTCCAGATAAGCTGCTGTTTGAGCAGCTACTGGTGGTCATACCAACTACTAAGAATCAGCTGTAAATCTGTAAAATTATATGATATAAAGCTGAAATTTCTCAGGTAGCTCCAGAATTAAATTGTCTTTAAAATGAGGTATGACACACCATGTAATAAGTACTTTTTGCTGTAGAGGGGGGTGCCGTTGTTTTTTGACACCCTGTATATCAGGATATGTTACACTTTCTGATTAGAATATTGCACTTTCTTAATGGCATATGGAGCTTTTTGACACACTTTCAGATTACCATATTGGGATTTCTATTGCACTTTCTAATTAGCATACAAACATCTGAATTGGGTATTGTGTTTTCTAATAAGACTACTAGGCTTTCTGGTTACACATACCTCATATCATTGGTGACCAGTCGACAAGGAGGGTCAAATACAGGCAATGTCATGTTTAGAAGATTCTGTGTGCCTTTCAATGACAATGGTAGAGCTATAACTCTATCCTGAAAGCAAGTGTTAAAATCAGAGTCACACTTTACTAGCAAACATATAGAAATGTATAAGCTACCCCTTTGGTCTAATTGGGTTGGAAAGGTTACATTAAACGAAAGGGGTACGCAGAAGAGGTAATAATTATGAAGTCAACTATGAACTCTGGGTCATCTCATCCTCCTTCAGAACCAGTTAAATGAAATTAGCCCCCATACATTGAGTGTGTGGGGGGCTTATTCATTTTCAGAATGTCTCTATCTCTGTTCCGATGCATGTGATTAACTGAAACCATAGTCTACCCTTAACTGTTCTGTAACTAGAAAAACAGCAACTCCACGGAGTAGCATATCCCACCGAACAAAACATATTATGCTTATTATAGCTAGTATAAATGTTGAAATGTTTGTGCACTTTGTGATAGAAGCATGAAATTTGGCACAAAGTAAGTTTATACCATTGTGAACTAGGCATCATCATATAAAATTTGAACCAAATCCGTTCACTGGTATATGAGTTATCAAAGATTACGTTTTTTACGAAAATTGGCTGCCATCTTGAAATTCAGCCGCCATCTTGAAAATTATTTCTTGAACAGAGCTACTGTGTCCCTAGGCATAATCATATAAAATTTCAACCAAATCTGTTCACTGGTATTTGAGTTATCAAAGATTACGTTTTTTACGAAAAAATTTTTGTCGAACATAGCTACTGTGTCCCTAAGCATCATCATATAAAATTTGAACCAAATCCGTTCACTGATATTTGAGTTATCAAAGATTACATATTTTTACGAAAAATGGCCGCCATTTTGAAATTAAGCGGCCTTCTTGAAAATCTCTTTTTGTGCGAAAGACCTTTGTCCCTAGGCATCAGCATATAAAATTTGAATCAAATCCGTTAACTTGTATTTGAGTTATCAACGATTACATTTTTTACGAAAAATGGTGGCCATTTTGAATTGAGCGGCCATATTGAAAATTTCTTCTCGAGAAGAGGTCCTACACTCATAAGGCATAAGCCTATAAAATTTGAACCAAATCCGTCAACCGGTATTGGAGTTATTGCCCGGACACCCGGACGGACGAACGGACGGAGGGCTTCTCTATATCCCCCTCGAACTTCGTTCGGTGGGATAGTAAGACTTAATGGCCCCCTCATCCAATAAATAAATTGAACCCTAATTAGAATTGCAGTGACAGAAGTTAATGCCTATCCTTTTAGCTTCTGTATTTCTGGGCAGTCTGAATTAATTCTCTTGCAAGATCCCTGACCTCAAAACTGTAGATTTACTCCTCAAATAAGAAGCAAGGAGGGGGAAGGGATGAGAGAACACTTAGCTTTATATAAAAGACTATCATATAGACTATAATTTAATAAAAGGACAACAACAATCTATTAAAAACAAATTCCAAAGCAAAATTCTTGTAACAGCTGTGTATGACTTCGATGAAGTATAATTGCAAGGGTGGAGGTTTGGTGTAAGATGTACATAAATAGACTGCAAACAGATGCCACTGTATGTTTGTATGCTATATTGCTCACCAGTACAGTCAGTACACGCTTGTTCTGTCTAGAAAGAACTGTTCTTGCTTTTGGTTGATCAGATGTGATAACATTCTGAATGAGACCCTGTGCTGCAGCAGTATTTAGAAGTAAGAGTAAGTAAAAGTTAGCATTTTGTTTAGATTCATAATTTTGTTTAAATTCATAATTTTGTTTAGATTCATAATCTTCAACATGTAAAAAGAGTCTACCAGATGGTAATTATTGTGAGAATGACCTTTAAGGTTCAGAGATGGATACAAATTTCAATGGAGATCCATATAGAGGTTCAAATGACGGAAGCTGACAAAAAGAAAATGGCGGATTCAAAATTTTGTAAAAATATTTCGAATAATACAATATTAATTTCTGGAGTGTTTACCAATATAATAATAAAAGGTAAGTCTGCATGTTCAGAATTTTGCTGCAATCCTCAATTGAGTTACATGTTATTTTTCAAATAGGAATCACTCCTTTTCCACATTGTCTTTCAGTTTTGCACAAAGAGTGATTTCCTATCGAAAGCCCATGTACAGACTAACCTTATAATCACATCAAGATAAAGAAAGATTCAAGGAATATGTTTACGTCAATTAAAACATCACATCAAATATTTTAGATATTTGGTTGTTGATCATGTTTATGTACCATCTCCTGGAGACTTCCTCATACCCTATAATCACATCAGGATTATTAACAGTTCCCCAGTCATCAGGCTGTATCAGTTGATGGCAAGTAAGAGTTTAAAGATGACATACGCTTATAATAGGCAAAACTGCCCTAATTCACGTCACCATACTAGTCAATGGGCAAAAGGGCAAACGCCTGACTTTTTATCTCGAGTTATGGATTTATGTGGCCTCACTGGCCTATCTGGGGTTCTAAAGCTATGTCTAAGCTACATCTTGACACTAAACTCAATAGGGGCCAATCATCTACTTTTTGAAATAATTGGTCAATTGTGACACTACCCCCTCTCTCTGCAGACACAAATTGAAATTCACAAAAATGAAGGCAAAATTAATACGCCACTTGACTCGAAATTTTCCTTCAGATAACCCAAATAAACGCATTTTCAGAAGAAATGGCATGTTGCCATTGCAAAAAGATTACAACTGTGCCTACATACTAGTTTACTGACTCGTCATGATCACAATTGTGTTGGGACTACATTTATTTTTGAATACTACTTTTTTCTATTCAGCGGAAGTGACGTATTAGGGCATTTTGGCCTATTAGCCACATGGTTGGATGATTTCTGGCTTTAAATTGCGTTTTTCCAATTTACTAGAGTTTTTCAAGTAGTTTTGTGCAGTTTAAGAATGTTCTGAGAGCAATCATGAAAAATATGGCTACTTCATTACCCCTGGGGTCATTTTTCCAAGAACCCAATGGTTTTCCTTTAAATTTGACTAGTTTTTCATTTACATCATGAAATCCACTGCCTGATGGTGACATTTTTCAGTATCGTGTCAAGAAATTGAGTATTTTATTGCATATTGCGATTTTTAGCCAAAATCACTGAACCGTGAACCAGAAAATTGGACAAATTTGGCCCACTTTTTGGCAAAATCTTACTAAAATCATCACTGTTTCATACTTTATTCCATTCAACAAACTCCTGATTTGAAAAATGATGACAAATTTGATCAGTTTTGACTCTGGCCTAGAGAATTGGGACTTTTGAGATATTTTTTAGCTCGAATGTAGTCATTCAGAGTGAACAAATACATCAAAAATTGACAATTAACTCACCAATTTCTGACTGCACCCCCGATATGTACCTTCTTTCTATACTGGAAACCATAAGATGGAAAATTCAATATTTATGATGAATAGCAACTCGTTGGCTTCCCCATTTACGACAACAAATGACATTTAGGGGTCACTAAGGACAAAATTGTAGCCAAATATCGTCAAAATCAGTGGTTTTTGGGGTAAAAAGCGAAAACTGCTGATTCAGCAAAAACATTAAATTTGTTCATGAAAATTCCCCTTTTTGTCTCCGTCCGAAATATGTTTCACACTAATAAACTCCAATTCTGGGCGATTCTGAGTAGTTTTAAAAAATTTGGGTCACTTTCACATGTGACTAATAGGCAAAACTGCCCTAATTCACGTCACCATACTAGTCAATGGGCAAAAGGGCAAACGCCTGACTTTTTATCTCGAGTTATGGATTTATGTGGCCTCACTGGCCTATCTGGGGTTCTAAAGCTATGTCTAAGCTACATCTTGACACTAAACTCAATAGGGGCCAATCATCTACTTTTTGAAATAATTGGTCAATTGTGACACTACCCCCTCTCTCTGCAGACACAAATTGAAATTCACAAAAATGAAGGCAAAATTAATACGCCACTTGACTCGAAATTTTCCTTCAGATAACCCAAATAAACGCATTTTCAGAAGAAATGGCATGTTGCCATTGCAAAAAGATTACAACTGTGCCTACATACTAGCTTACTGACTCGTCATGATCACAATTGTGTTGGGACTACATTTATTTTTGAATACTACTTTTTTCTATTCAGCGGAAGTGACGTATTAGGGCATTTTGGCCTTATAATGTAAACCTCTATTGAGATGACACCTCTGATTGGTCCAAATCGATAAACAAAAATGGCGGATTCAAAATTTTCTAATAACGCTTCGAATAATATTATGTTGATTCCCGGCGTATTAACCAATACCATAGCTTGTTTTTTACATCAAGATTGATAAATATGTAAGGAATACATCGATTAAAACATCACGACGACACGCTATGTTCAAAAATTAACTGGTGAGAATTTGCACAAACGAAGGTGGTACGCAAGAGACGTATTATGTCAGTCATCGCTAAAGCTCTGGGGCGTTCCCTCCTCTTATGACAAGTTATGTTTATTTCTCATGACACACCACATACATGTTACAGTGATTCGCTTGTGACATCTTTTATTCCAGTAAAAATGTAAAATTCATTTTGCATGGCTAGATTACAACTTCATGTTTCATTTTATTGGTATATGCAAATTATGATTTTCCATCAAAAAATAATAAAAAAGTTATAGTATTTTTTTACAAGTGGTGCTTTTTGGCTCAACCTGTATATAACTTTCATTTAGTTGCCGGGTAGTTGGTCAAAGCATCTATATCTGATGTCCTTCATCGTTTTAGAACGCATACCCCCTTATGCTTGGTAGATGTCCGATCACAGGTCTCACAACAGAAAACTCTCTAAGTAATTATCTTGCTCAGTAATACCACTCAGTAAAACCTCTCTCAGTGAACACCAATTCTATCTCAGTAAACACCTCTCATGGAACACATCTCAGTAAACACAACTTGGTGAAAACCTCATATGGTGAACACCCATCTAAGCAAAACCTCTCAGTGATCCTCTCTTTCAGTAAATGCCAATCTCAGTGAACAACTCTCAGTGAATACCTGCCTCACTAAACAATCTTAGTGGACAGATCTATCAGTGAACACCTCTCCTGGTAAGCTTCAGTGAAAACCTCTCAATGAACACCTTCCAGTAAACACCCTACTCAGAGAACCTCTCTCTCAGTAAACACAATTGCTTTAAGTATACTCTATCAATTTCTGTATAAAGCCCTCTGCAGTAAACACCTACTTCAGTGAACACTTTTTGTGGTTCCAGAGATGTTTACTGTAGACATATTGTACTGTACAAATGATGCATATGCATATTCTTTCAGATTGTCCACCTGAACCATCCAGGTTAAAAGATCCATAAACTGTGGAATACATCTGCATTATCTGCATTCCACACAAAAATACAATGGTCATGGAGCACCTTTCACTGAAGAAAGAGTGCATTGATGTAATACCTCAAAATGATGACCAAACTGACATTTCAGAAAAGGATGAGAATACTAACATCATTTCACAAAGCAATGATAAAAGTAACAGTGTTCCCATAAACATTAAAAATGATCGTAATGAAAAGGATAGATTGATAGTTTCCAAATTTGAGGAAGACAATGACTGTATATCCAAAAATGATCGAAATAAAAAGGATGGATGGAATGTTTTCAAATTTGAGGAAGACAATGACTGTATATCCAAAAATGATCAAAATGAAAAGGATGGATGGAATGTTTCCAAATTTGAGGAAGACAATGACTGTATATCCAAAAATGATCAAAATGAAAAGGATGGATGGAATGTTTCCAAATATGAGGAAGACAATGACTGTATATCCAAAAATGATCAAAATGAAAAGGATGTACGGAATGTTTCCAAATATGAGGAAGACAATGACTGTATATCCAAAAATGATCAAAATGAAAAGGATGGACGGAATGTTTCCAAATATGAGGAAGACAATGACTGTATATCCAAAAATGATCAATATGAAAAGGATGGACGGAATGTTTCCAAAAATGAGGAAAACAATGACTGTATATCCAAAAATGATCAATATGAAAAGGATGGATGGAATGTTTCCAAAAATGAGGAAGACAATGACTGTATATCCAAAAATGATCAATATGAAAAGGATGGATGGAATGTTTCCAAATTTGAGGAAGACAATGACTGTATATCCAAAAATGATCAAAATGAAAAGGATGGATGGAATGTTTCCAAATATGAGGAAGACAATGACTGTATTTCTAAAAATGATCAAAAGAATTGTGAAGATGGATTGAGTTTTTCTCTAAAGGATGGGGATGGTGACTGCCACATTTCTGAAAATGATCAAAATAGTGACAATATTAATGGATATGTTTCCCAAAGTAATGAGGAAAATGACAGTGCTTCAGGAAATGATAAGTGTGATAATGACCTTCTCAAAAGTAATAATCCAGGTATCTCTGAAGGTAAACAAATTGTTGTATCACTCTGCCCATTAGAGATTCAAAACTGGAGGAGATATCACAGGATATCCTCAACAAGGAACGGCACTACCATTGCCACGTTTTCGACTTTTTCGTGTCCTGTATTTAAGTGCAAGAACACACATAATCCTAAGGAAAAATGCCTGAATTGTAAAACGCATTTTACAAATTCGAGGCTTCGAACGTGTACTAAAGGAGACAAGCACACACAGTCCAACATGCTGTCCTATAGAGGGGACAACAGGTTTAAATGTGAACCTTACTCAAGCAAATTTAAAACATTTGAATCTTTAAAGGCCCATAAGCAACAAGTGAAACGTGGTAAACTTAAATGTGAAATATGTTTTAAAGTGTTTGACAAGAAATTTGATTACACGGTTCACATGCGTGTCCACACTGGGGACAAATGGAACGAGAGAGAGAAACCATTCAACTGTAATATTTGTTCAAAGGGATTCAGTACAAAGTTTTATCTTGTTTTACACATGAAATCTCACACTGGACAACAAAGTAGTTTTAAGTGTGACATTTGTATGAGAGAATTCTGTACAAACTCGAGACTTCGCAACCATATGCGGATCCACACGGGAGCAAGACCTTTTCAATGTAAAATATGTTTTGCTGGATTCGCACAAAAATATAATCTTAACGATCATATGAATACCCACTTAAGGGAAAAGACAATCAAATGTGAAATATGCTTAAAAACATTCACAACAAAAAGGCTTTTGAAACGTCACTTACTCACACACAGTGACGAAAGACCATTCAAATGTGACATGTGCAGTAAAGCATTTAAACTCAATGCCAAACTCCAGCGTCACAAAATGGTTCACACAGGAGAAAAACCGTTCAAATGCCAAATCTGTTCAAAACGTTACACTGTGAAAGCATATTTGATAAATCATTTTAAGATTCACACTGGAGAGACCAGAGAATATTTCAAATGTGACACATGTTCCAAGTCTTTTACTGATATAAGCAACTTGAGGTCGCATATCAGACTCCACACTGGAGAAAAACACCATGAATGCGAAATCTGCCCCAAGAAGTTCAATAGCAAAGCAAACTTGATTCAACATGAAAACTATCACAAAGGTATCAAACCTCACAAATGCAATTTGTGCCTCAAGGCATATTCATACACTGGATCTCTTAGTGAACACAAACTAACCCATGCTCCAGCTATACAATGTGACATCTGCAAGGAGACATTTCCATCAAGGTTGACATTCAATGGACACATGAAGCGTATTCACAATCTATAAAAGCTCACTGTATTATTCAGAAACTGTTAATCCAGGTCAGAATTCTTTAACTGGGTCTTAATATAATCTTTTTTGTTTCAGTATTTAAACACTTCAGGAACAGTTCATGAACTATTCAAGGGGAACTTGAACCATAAAAGGTTGGTACATTATGTCCTTATTAATTCAGGAACTGATTCTACTCAGTACTTAAGCACCACTTCAGGCACCATACAGGAACTTCTACCAGGGATAACTAGATAACGGCAACTCCGCGGAGTAGCAAATCCCAATGAACAAAATATCAATTACAGAATTCCAATCAATTATACTCATTACTTTGGCTAAAATTGAAAAAATTAGATTTTAGAATTGCGAATTCCTGCAAAGCAGCCATTTTGAATTTTCTGAGATACAAATCTGAAAAATAATACCATAATTGTGATCTACTCCAAAATTCCTTCAATTTGAGTATAATATAGCCATACTTTGAAGGGATCGAAAAATTATTACGAAATCGTACATTAAACGGCCATTTTGAATTTTACGTGGCTCGAATCAGAAAAAAGATAAATATTTGCAAAGTACTCTTAATTGCCTTTCATTTGAGTATAATAAAGCTATACTTCAGAAAGATCGAAAAATTAACGAAAATTTCTGTTTTCCTGTCCCCCCATACACGGCCCCTGGGGGTCAGGATGAAAAACACGGAATATATGTGAAATAGATAAATGTTGTGAATATACTACCAAAATTTCAAACAATAATATTAATTACTTTGGTTTAGAATGAAAAATTTATGATTTTTGCGAAAAAGTCCCGTCATTTTTAAAGCGGCGGCCATCTTGAAAAAAATATTCACCAATATACATCTTTCCACTAAATATGAAGAAAATCCGACTACTAGTATTTGAGTTATCTTCCGGACAGACGGACGGACTGACTGACGGACTGACAGACGGACAGACGGACGGAGGGCTTCACTATATCCATACCGAACTTCGTTCGTTGGGATAATTAAGAATGATCATTACAGTAAAAATGGTGACTTATTTCACAGCTCGTTCTGCTGGGAATTCTATTTTTACGTTTTGGTGAATGTAAACAGATGAGGTTACATTGCTAAAGCTTTTTAACTCTTTCACAGGTATACAATGGCTTCCTGTAGAAAGTACACTTAATTTCCCAGAGACTGCATGCTGGTAGTACATGTAGCACTAGCTGTGAAACATTATCTCAATTTCCGAAGGGTAAGGTCATCGTTTTAACTGGAATGATCAGTTATATTCTATAGTAATGTCTACAAACCCAGTGCCACTGGATTGATCCCTTTGACTGTTGAAGAGGGTGTACAAGTAGCAAGTACTTTATGCCTTGGTCACATTTGTTCTGATGTTCACTACGGCGTACGGCTGATTTAGTATAGATTGGAGCAAATGTGACCCAGGCATTATATAAAACATTGCATAAACTGTACTAGATAGAAATTGAACTTTGCGCTTATTAAAGGTACCCTTTGCATTCGTTTGACTTCACTTCTTAAAAGAGAGCTTCGTCTTCACTCTTTCAAACTAAAATAAACCTGTGAACTCACCGCGCCAATCAGTGTTCATCGGCCAAATTTGACCAACGTTCTTTTCTGGTCATTCCTTCTGACGTCATCGTTGAGCCCGGAATTGACCAATGACATGCGCATATTTAATTAAAACGCATTTGGCGCATGTTTCTTCAAGCTCGCTGATTGGTGGAAGGTCAGCGCATTGGTCAAAAGTGACTTACCCAAACTGTCACCGGTACCCGTCGTGGGGGCGGGGCTACTAAACTGTACTATGGTCTCTACTAGGCAGAGTGTAGTTTAACTAGACTCTGCACGCAGGGTAATTAAAGGTTTTATAATCGTATAATTTGGAGTTTGTGTAGTTTTAGCCGTAGTAAATACATGTTTACATACATGTTCATTGTTTTCTTTTTCAAACTTTTCCCTGGAGTAAGGAGTGGATCGTTGGAGAGAGGTTGCAGAGATCAGTTAGCTTATTATAATTCAATAAATAGACAAGGATGAATATAATCTATTCTAACAAGACTCTATTCATGCCTTCTATAAACTGTAAACAAAGTCAACATTTCATCCGGGGTATATTCGCGAAGAATACCCCTGGAAATATGTGTAATGTGTGACATCACAACGGCGGGTCGTAGTAATGGGGGACCATAATGAATATTTGAAACAGTTTTGGTGAGTTTTCATGTTCGAATCGTAATATAGACCTCAGAGCAGGGGTAATATCATCGAATACACCCCTTAGGGCTAGGCACAAAAGCTTCTGAAAACGAAAATAGAAAACGTTTGTGCCTAGCCCTGTGGGGTGTTTTCAACAATATTACCCCTGTTCTACAGTCTATATTTCTTAAATAATACCATGCAAATTGCCAACCACCAACTGCTTAAAACCAAACACCAACTGCTGAACATCATCAGTAAGAACCAGAACAACGGCAACGCCAAAGCGTAGCGAATCCCAACGAACAGCCATGGATGGCATTTTTACAAACAAAGTATATAGTAAAAATGGCAGGCATTTTTCAAAATTGTGAAATTTTACAATGTAAATTTTCTATTAATTACAATACAAACCTATTCCATGACATATGCTTAATCCCCCCTTTTGAAACAAGAGGCAAGTCCCCAAAAATAAATAAATACAAAATGATCAGTCCCTGGTAGTGACCCAATAGGTGTCGCCCACTATCTCATTAAATATTCATAAAAAATCACAGACTGTACTAACTTTCTAGAGACTGCGGGGAGGCCGGGTGGGCCTATGGTCATGGAATAGGTTTGTATTGTAATTGTAGCGACCCTGGGTTGGCTAGTCATATTTTACTCTTACATAAATTGCCAACCTGGCACCCGGTGTCGCTACTTCCCTTCCGCTCGGAGCGCGAATAGTACCGCTGCAAGGTCTTAGGTATAATATAGTTGCTTGAGCTATATAGCTCTTGTTCAGAACAATTGTTTTGCAAGGGTATTTTGGGCATAGCACATTTCTGCTGTAATTTTATGTAAGGGTTGATCTCGCGAGAGACAGCGAGAAGAGAGTTGGCGCCATACTTTTTCACTCACGAGGCAGTTTTGATTTAAATTGGTGATTTGGATTACTTTTGACACTTGATCAGGCCTGATCGATCGTTATGGCAGCCAGAGGGATGAGAAGAGTCGAGTGGCTGCAAAACTGAGGTTGTATTTTTATATTTGAACGCCACTGCAGTGCTGAGCATACTTGTAGAAATATTGTTAATATTTTCAGATTTTATTTTGTCTTTGACTTCGAGTCAACTGAGTGTGTATTTGATTTGGTTATTTGGAACAGTTGATCTATTGTGATTGATTTTCTTTGAGAGAATTATGTAATTTTTGGCTGGAAGATCTGGCCTTGTTTTTGATATGCTCAGCGCGCAGGTGAGATTTTTCACAGCGCCACCTTTTGACAATCGCTTACTTAAAGCTTGATGTTGTTTGAGGGCTGAAATATAGTTGCCATCTTAGTTAAGACCTTTGTAATTTATTCGTAATTTGTCAGGTTCGACTAAAGTCAGATTTTGCTTTTAGAGCCATGTATTCATGTAATTTGCTTTGATTTGTATTTGATAAAACTGATGTAAAACCAAATCTCATTATTTATTTACAATTAAACTTTAAAACTTTACTTGATTTGTTGTGTTGATTGTTTGTAGTCATTGATTGATGGTTTAGATGAAACAACAGTGAAATACTCTTATATTTAAAAAGCCTGCCATATTCTGATCATTTCTTCATTCTGTTCCAAATCATTCTTGTCCAATTAGTGTTCTCAACTTTTATCTTTATTTAAAGGTGGCAGCACCTTACATAGAGTCCAGTAGTCAATCTTAACATTCAGCTCAAATTCGATTCACTACGTTGCCATGGCCGTTCAGCTTACCACGCTACCATTTGTTTGCTCGTTCGGTCCTGTTTGTTTGTTTGTTTGTACGGGTTGCTTTGTTGTAGTATTGGTTTATTGATTGATTGGGCAGCCCGTACGTGGCAGTTTCGGGATTAAGACCGGAGCTGTTACATTGGTGGCAGCGGTGGGATTTTTGAGTTGTTTGTTTGATTGATTGATTGTTGTTTGAGTATTTGTGAAATTCTGCAGCAAGTTTCTAGTTGTGCGCGGTTGAGATTTGATGACCTACTCTAGTCCAGTCCTGGTAGTAATTGACTGTGATAGAGTGATACTCCTGATAGTGAGCTTTACTGATTGTGCTAGAGGAGCAGGCGACTGGTCATTGAGCGCCACATGTGATGTTTGCTCCCTTTCAAGACATAGCACATTTTTCTGATATTATGCAGAAACACCAGAATTTGACTTCTCAAATTGCTATGTCAACTGATACTACATTTTGTTTTCCAGGTAAACATGAAGGCTCTAGAGTGGTTGAACCGGCTCGCATTACTACACAAGCCCCGAGTTCCCGCGTTGCAGTCAGCCAGACTGTGCCAGCTTGTCATGTTGTGACATCTACTTGCCAGGGCCAGGCTGGGCCTCAGGATGATTCTTATCTTGATGCGCCTGCTGCGAATGGCGCAAAGCGACACATGGACTCTGCCTATGACTCCTTCGATGGCGAGAGATTATCGTGTCAACCTCCGATTAGACTTAACACATATGATGGCACTTCTTCATTTGAGGACTATATTGTACAGTTTAACATCATAGCATCTTTCTTCAAATGGGACGATAAT